TTATATATGTCTGTTAGGGCTATTTGTTAAATAATGTTGCTCAAATCTGCTTTCCTTATTCTCAAATCTTTAATTCTCTTTGGATGATCTACCCATGGAGAGTAGGGAAATAGTCCGTTATTGCTCTTTCTTTCTCCCGTTGGTTATGTTAGTATTTGCTTTATATAGTTAGATGTTCCAGTATTTGGTACATAAATATTTACAGTTATATCTGCTTAATAAATTGACCCTTTTATCATTATATAATGACCTTTTCTTTTTTTAACCATTTTTAAAGTCTGTTTTGTCTGATGTAAGTGAAGTTAACATTTTTAATTACCACTTAAAATTTTTCCATCTCTTCCCTTTAATTTGTCTTTTAGACTGAATTGAGTCTCTGGTACGTATCATGGATCTTGGGTGATGTGTGTTTTTGTTTTTGTTTTTTTATCTATCCAGCCACTCTTGTTTGGTGAATTAAATCCATTTATGTTTGAAATAATTATAACTAAGAAGCTATTATAATGTTAATTGTTTTCTTGTTTTGTAAATCCATTGTTATTTTTTATTCTGCTGTCTTTGATATCATTTGATATCAATGTTTTGTCTTCACCTTTTTGTAGTTGGTACAGATATTTTTCTTATGGTTTTATGAAGCATACACAAAATATCTCCAAGTTATAACAATTTTATTAAATTGCTGACAATTTAACTTCAATAGCATTCCTACATTTTACACTCTTCTCCCCCTCACATTTTAGGTTATTGATGTCACAGCTTATGTGTTTTATATTGTGTACCCTATAGCAATTATTGTAGTTTACTATGTTTATTTTTTTAACTTCTCCAATTTGGGCCTGTTCACCCCTGTAAGTACCCCCTTAGGTGCCCTCTGTTTGTCCCCTGCTTCCAGGTCACCATGCTGATGAGAAGTTAGTGTAGACACCTGATTGACATAGCTTACTACTGCCCAGAACGCTGGACTCCAGCAATCCTCAGCCTCAGTGTCCCAAGTAGCTGGACTGCAGGCAGATACCACTGTGCCTAGCAATTTTTGAACTTTAAACTAGTATAGTGAGCGAATTATGTTACCCCCCCATTAACACAGTACAAAACCTAATTTTGCATATATTTTCACTACCAGTAAGTTTCATACTTTTATATTTTTTACAATTAGTATCTTTTTACTTCCACTTAAATAACTCCCTTTAGCTTTTTTTTTTTTT